TTCCTCGCTCGAAGCTTCTGCAGGTGCGTTCCGTTTGCGATCTTGCACCTGTGCACCGACTGCCGGAAAGCCCCTTCGTTGAAGCCAATCTGCGGGAAGCCAGCTGCGCAGAAGTTCGAAATGCCCCGCTCCGTGACCGGCGCCGTCGACGCTCAGGCAGTGTTCCACCTCGAAGCCAACCGGGCCTTGCCCGTGCATCACGGGAAAAGCCTGCGGGTCTGTCGGTGTCACTAATATAGCGCATCCAAAGGCTTCGCTGTAGGCGCCAAGTTCCTCGTCGCCTGACAACTGGGTCGAGTCGAACAGCTGCGTCACCCTTGAAGCCCTACAGACAGCACTTGAAAGGAGCGCGTTCCTACTAAATGGCTATGCAACTTCATGCGGTTTCCTGGCCTGGGTGTCCTCCGGCTTCGAGGCGAGCTGCCTCCTCGTGTTTCCCTTGCGTGCGGAGCAGCATCAGGATGTGCATCAGGATGTTCTGTGCGGCCTCCTTGTACTTCTGCTCGGCCACAACGTCTTCGATGAAGCCCAGCTCGCTTCTGTGCAGCCGACTCCACGTCGGGGGATCGCATGCAGCCAGAAATGTGTACAGCATGCAGAAGCCGTCCGGGGGTACAGTCAAGCGGCGTTCCCAGACGCCCTCGCCCATGGTCTCCAAGTCTCTTCTGCACGCAGGTGGCAACCTCATGTGCGGAAGCAGTACCCCCTCGGGCATGTCAAAGCCGGAAGGGTCCCAGAGAGTGTCTTCTGCATTGTCCTGGGACGCCCGGGACGCGAGACTCTCCTCGCTGCTGATCGGCACAGGAAGGGATGCCCGGCACGCGAGACTCTCCTCGCTGCTGATTGGTACAGGAGAGGATGATGCTTGCACGCCTTTCAAGTCGCCAAACTGCTGGACGCGCATTCTGTTCTGGTCGTCCTCCTCGATGTTCGCCTCGATCGATGCCTCGACTCGCGTCTGCTGCAACAGCTGAGAAATGCGTCCGGGCTTGTAACCCTCGGTTTTGAGCTGTTGTCGTAT